AAAAAAAGTATATGTATACCTGTACATGTTTTATTGTGTTTTATTGATTTTCTAAGTGAAAATAAGTTGACACGTCCTCTACAGAGAACACACTTCTGTTTAGGGCACTCTTTTAGGTCAGTGGATGTTTCCAACATGTGGTCATTCTGATTGGTCAGAACAAGCGAGCTCTTGGCCTTAAACAATAACAGTTTATTAGAGCATAGAGGGGCAGAAAGAGTGGAAAGAACCTTTATAGCTGGGCATTCTGTGGAGAGAGTGGACTTCTGGTCCTAGCACTCTCTCTTTTTCTCTCTCTGTATTTATCTATCTGACAGATAATATTCAGGTAGTATTCTCAATGTGCTATTCATCTTGTTTGCAATATCTTCTGTACAGCCTTATCATATTATTCACTCAATAATAACATAACAAAATGTAATGAAATTGATTTCATGCTGTAACAAAACCCATTGGTGTTTCCTTAAAAAACCATTGTGAAGATCAACATACTGAACAGCATTGCTTAAAGTACTACAACCCTGTTTCCAAAAAAGTTGGGATGCTGTGCAAAATGTAAATAAAAACACAATGCAATGATGTGATAATCATTCAAACCCTGTAATGAATTGAAAATAGTATAAAGACAAGACTGAGAAATTGAGTTGTTTTTTAAAAAATATATGCCTATTTTGAATTTGATGCCAGCAACATGTTTTAAAAAAGTTGGGACAGGGGCATGATTACCACTGTGTTGAATCACCTCATCTTTTAACAACATTCTGTAAGTGTTTAGGAAGGAGACCAACTCATATAGTTTTGAAAGTGAAATGTTTTCCCACTCCTGCTTGATGTAGAATTTCAGCTGCTTAATAATTTGTGGTCTCCTTTGATGTGTTTTTCATTTCATAATGATCCAAGTGCATTCAATGGGTGATGGTTCTAGACTGCAGGCAGGCCAGTTTAGCACCCGGACTCTTTTACTACAGAGCCATGCTGTTGTAATGTGGGCTGAATGTGGTTTGGCATTGTCTTGCTGAAATAAGCACGGTCTTCCCTGAAAAAGACGTGGTCTGGGTGGCAGCATATGGTGCTCCAAACCCTGTATATATATCGTTTAACATTAATGATCCCTTCACAAAAGTGCAGATCACCCATGCCATGTGCACTAATGAACCCCCATATCATCACGGATGATGGCTTTTGAACTGCACTGATAACAAGCCGAATGGTCCCTCTCCATTGGAAATCATGGATGGACAAAGCATCCATGATTTCCAAAAAGAATTTCAAGTTTTGATTTGTTGGACCACATGACACTTCAGGATCCAGAAACGCCGCTGCGTTTCAGGGAAGGCCGTGCTTATTTCAGCTGCCGCGTTTCAGGGAAGGCCGTGCTTATTTCAGCAAGACAATGCCAAACCACTGTTTATATATGGTTTCTTCTTTCAGTGGTGGAGTTTTAACTTGCATTTGTGGATGCAGAGATGAACTGTGTTCACAGACAGTGGTTTATGGAAATGTTCTTGAGCCCATGCAGTGATTTCTACTACAGGATCATGTCTGTTTTTAATGCAGTGCTGCCTGAGATCATCCATCCAGCGTTCGTTTTTTGGCTTTGTCTTTTGCATACAGAGATGTCTCCAGATTCTCTGACTCTTTAATGATATTATATACCGTAGATGATGAAATCCCCAAGTTCTTTGCTATTTTACATTGAGTTTCTCAGAGTGGTGAACCCCTCCCTATCTTTACTTCTGAAAGATTCAGCCTCTCTGAGATGCTCTTTTTGCAACCAATCATGTTACTCACCTGTTGCCAATTTACCTGATTAGTTGTAAGATGTTCCACTTGGTGGTTTTTAGCATTACACAACTTTATCAGCATTTTGTTACCTGTCCCAACTTTTTTGAAACGTGTTGCTGACATCAAATTCAAAATGAGCATATTTTTTTTCTAAAAACAATTTCTCCGTTTCAACATTTGTTATATTGTCTTTATACTATTTTCAATTAAATATAGGGTTTAAATGATTTGCACATCATTGCATTCTGCTTTTATTTATATTTTGAACAGCAACCTAACTTTTTTGGAAATGGGATTGCAAACTAATACAGACTCTTAATGCTCTCAACTGTTAACAGTTTACTGTCCCTAAGTCCTTTACACACAAGTCCGTGTGAGAGAAAGCCAGAAACTACCCTACAACTGTTTATTTCCTGAGTGGCCTGTGCTACATGGGCCACAATTTATTTTGTCTTTTCAATATGTTAAACTTAAGTAAATAGAAACTGTGCTCTGAAATTTACAGAAAATGTAAATATTTTTGTTTGTTCCTTGTAGAGAATGTGTTCAACTTTTGCATATGACTGTAACAGTTGACATTAAAGCAGGTTATCAAAGCATTACTTACAAAAGTTTTCAATCTACATTCAAAAATTAAAGTAATAACTGTTCACATATGTGAATCACTGTAGCATTACAGCATTGTAGTTTTTAGTGTATTTTGTGATCGTATTCCAAATTAGAGGTATGAATTCCTCTTAGTATGCATTTCCGTCTTATGAGCACTCAATACTAAAAAAAAAGAAGACATCATGAAATCACAGTTATTTTTCTCATCTCCTTGCACTTTCTTTGTGTTTCCTGAGTAGATAAAATAACTGATAATAGTTTAGTTATGTCCTGATTCATTTTCTCTTGTCTCTGCAGTTTTGCCCTAAGTCTAGCCAGCTCTTTTACAATTCAAGAATAATGTTTCTAAACGTAAAATAGCAAAGAACTATTAAAAGATTCAGAGTATCTGGAGAAATCTCTGTATGCAAGGGACAAGACCAAAAACCAGTATTTGCTGGCCATAATCTTTGGGCCCTCAGGCGTTTAAAAACATTTAAAAACATTTAAAAAAAGACATGATTCTGTAGTGGAAATCACTGCATGGGTTCAGGAACACTTCTGAAAACCACTGTCTATGAAAACAGTTCATCACTGCATCCACAATTACAAATTAAAACTCTATATCATGCAAGGAAGAAACCAAATATAAACAGGATCCAGACATGTTGCCACCTTCTCTGGGCCCGAGCGCATTTAAAATGGAGTGAAGTGGAAAAGTGTCCTGTGGTACGACAAATCAACCTTTGAAATTCTTTTTGGAAATCATGGACACTGTGTCCTCTGACCTAAAGACCACTCAGCTTGTTATCAGCGCACAGTTCAAAAGCCAGTATTCATGATGTAATGGGGGTGTATTAGTGCATTTCATTTACATTTTGCACAGCATCCCAACTTTTTGGAAATGGGTGATGTGTGAAGGCGCCATTAATACTGAATGATATATACATGTTTTGGCAACATATGCTACCATCTGGATGATGTCTTTTTCAGGGGATGCATTGCTCATTTCAGCAAGACAATGTCAAACCACATTCTGCATACATTACAACAGCATGGCTCTGTATTAAAAGACTCTGGGTGCTAAACTGGCCTGCTTGCAGTCCAGACCTGTCACCCACTGAGAACATTTTGCGCATTATGAAATATGACAAAGGAGACCCTGAACTGTTGAGCAGCTGAAATTCTATATCAAGCAAGAATGAGACAACATTTCACTTTCAAAACTACAGCAATTGGTCTCCTCAGTTCCCAAACATGTACAGAGTGTTATTAAAAGAAGTGATGATGCAACACAGTGGTAAACATGCCCCCGTCCCAACTTTTTTTAAATGTGTTGCTGGCATCAAATTCAAATACGCACATATTTTTTTTAAAATAATAAAATTTCTCAGTTTCAACATTTGGTGTTCATGTTCAAGTAATTATAGGGTTTAAATGGTTCCCACATCATTGCATTCTGTTTACATTTTGCACAGTATCCCAAATTTTGGAAATGAGTTTGTATTCATATCAGTCCTGGGAAAACAGTTCACTTTCAAAACTACAGCAGTCGGTCTTCTCAGTTCCCAAACTCTTACAAAGTGTTGTGAAAAGAAGAGGTGGTGAAACACAGTGGCAAACATGCCCCCCTCCCAACTTTCTTGGAACATGTTGTTGGCATCAAATTCAAAATGGCATATATTTTTCAACAAAAAAAATTCTCAGTTTCAACATTTGATATGTATTTGTAGAAATTTTCCTTTAAAATTATGTTTTACATGATTTGCATTTGCAAATTGGGTTGTAATTTAAAGTCATCCTTGGATCCTCTGTGCTCCTGGCTTCTTCTCTGTGTGTCTCTCTCTCTCTGTGAGTCAGTATTTTCTCCCTTTGCTGAATCTACCAATTTTCGTCTTTCCGTCTTTTCCTTTTCTCTGAGCATATTCACTTCCCTCTCTTTCATTTCTGTTTCTTCTCTCCATTTCTCCTTCTCTCTCATCAACACTTCTTTCACTTTCTTCCATTTCCTCTTTTATGACTTTAAATTCTGTTTGCTTCTCCTCAACCATCTCATTCATTCATTATTAACTCTTCTTTTTCCCTTTCCACTTCATACATTCCCCTCTCTATTTCTTTCTCTCTAGTTTTCATCTTGTTCTCATTATGTGCCATCACTACTTCTCTCTGGATCACCTTCCGTTCTCTCTGGATCATCTCTACTATTCTATTCTATTCGCATTCTCTTTGCTCTTTTTGCACACTACGTCCAGACGCTTTAACACACTGTTGTATTCTACCATTCCTACCGCCAGTGTTTCTGTGTGAACTCTGTTTACACTTTTAAGCAGGTGTCCTGCTTTCATAACATCTTCAGATTGAGTTTATCATTGAGACTCTTCTTCATTGCAGTTTCAAACTGGACTTCCCTGCCTTGGAAACATACAGAAACTAAATACAAACAATTACAAAACTATACCTTCAGATTTATTCTTGATACAATGTTTGAACTTGTTCTTATAGTCTTGCAGGGTGGACACCATATTTAAACTGATTGTTCAGATTAATGTTATTTGTAATATTTTCCACCTCCATTTTGCCTAGCACCTCTTGTGCACATTGGTCTGTTCTATATTCCTCTTCTCCACTTATTTTGCTCTCTTCATTCTCACAATCTTTCCAATGTCTTCAACTATAAGGCTGAACAGGGCACTAACAGCCACCAGTATAATCACAGTTACCACTGCAGTGGATCCTCTGCTCTTTTCTTGTCTGTCTGTGTTGTAGCATTGTCCTTCATTTCTGTCCACCAAAGCTTCTATCTTTTCCATCAGCTCTGTGACCTGTGAGGAGTCTTGTCTGTCTTTGTTGTTGAAGACATGATACCTGCCTTCAAAACTACTCATGAATGATTGAAGTTCAGAACTATGGCTAAGTATGTTTTCAATGGGTTTTCCCTCCAACAAATCTCCACCAGTGAACAGTATCATGGTAAACTTCAGAGCTTCTTCTCCAACGTTCTCCTGAATCCAGTCTGCAGCGTTTCTCTCCTCCTCTGTGAATCTCCCCAGTCTGACCACCAGCAGGAACACATGAGGACCAGGAGACGACAGCAAAATACATCTCTTCATTGCTTCATTTTTTTCATTGAGTGGGATCTTCTCTTGGGTTCTAGTTGTCATGAGGAGACCTGGGGTGTCAATCACAGTGATGTAATCGCTGGAAGCTCTACTTTTTTGGACCTCACATTCTGAGGTAACTGGCTCAAGTGAAAAGTCTACTCTGAATGCATCTCTGCCCAGAATGGTGTTTCCTGTGGAGCTCTTTCCTGTTCCTGTATTACCCAACAACATGATCCTCAGATCAGATCCTATGTGGTGAAGAAGACAGCAGTGCTTATTATTACTTAAATGAGAATATTTATTATTAGGGTCGTACAATGTAGATAACAAGTAATTTTAACTATATTTCTAGATTTTATGATTGCAGTATGCCTTGTAATCGAATAAGAGCACACTAGTCAATTAAGTGAACCAATGGCCTGACTTTTGTTGGATTACATGAACACATTGATTCATCAAAACACCCACAGAACCTCATCTGCAGCTGTGATTGGTGAGGACACTTATAGCACAAAGTAAAATCACTGTGACTGGTTAGAAGGCTCAGCCTTTCATGATACGTCTATCACAAAATCTAACATCATAATGATTAACATGGACGCAAATGTCACTGATGTTATTGATGCAAAGCACCATAAGCTATTTGAGTGCTGACAGCTCCCCCTTGTGTAGAATCTTCATCCTGCTAAATGTGAGTCACAAGCCACATCCATGAGATGCTTATTGTACAGCCTTATGCATAGCTAAGGTTAATCTTTGCTATCAGAGTACATGTGCTGTTCATATTGTCTAGTAATGTCTCTTTATTAATGCTAGATGGAACAACTTTATCTAACTGGGAATTCAAAAGAATCAGGAAATTGGGATGATTTCTTATAAGCAAGGACAGGATTAATACACTCATCTGAGGAAAATAGCGTTCTTATTTTGGCAATAATGTCTGTGTTTACCTTTTCCATAGTGCTGAAATTCAATGATAATGAAGGCAATAACTATAACACCCACACAAAACCATTTCAGCAGCCCACCTATACTGGGATGAATGAAGACATCTTTTAAATTGAATGAAAAAGACAACTGTGCACCTCCATATTTAAACACTTAAGATTTTTTAAATTACTTTTATGGACCTAATCTTTCAAATTTCCTAATTAAATTTGTTAAGTCCCCCAAAACATCCCCCCTGAATTTCACCATTTTTTTATATTGCTAAATGATTTACACAAACAGATCTGTAGCTTTCTACTTTTCTAAACTCCTATGTTTACCAGTAGATTACTGCTTAGTGTTAAGGGCAAATGTACTGTAATTTACAATAATCTGCTGTTTTCTAGCAGGAAATGCCTTTAATCAATAACTAAATACACACAAAATAAAAACAAAAACACCAGCATAGTTGTAAAAGTATTAGGACTATCATGACTTACCTGATTCTGCCTTTTTAATGTCCATGTTTGTACATACTACTTTGGAACTGTGTGACTGTAGCAGTGAAACCACAACCATCTGAAGAATGCAGTGTCTTGACTAAACACCCACATTCCAGGGCTGTGCAAGACATAACCTGTTCATCTGGTCCACAGAGCTTCACAATGACTACCTTAGCTCAGCTTTTGTGATTGTTAGATTTATTTGGCAGATACAGTAAGGGACATTCTTGGTGGATAGCTGGTAGATTGGTATATTGAGGACAGACTGAGTTTACAAAAGAATGTCCTGTGTAGAGAAAAATCAGGTATACATATTTTTTCATGTTACACCTACAGACTTACATGTATTTTATTGGGATTTTATGTGATAGACCAACACAAAGTAGCAAGTAATTGTGAAGTGAAAAGAAAATTATACATATGTTTTCAAAATTTTGAATAAATGAAAATCTGAAAAGTGTGGCATGCATTTGTATTCAGCCCCCTGTACTCTGATACCCCTAAATAAAATCCAGTGTGACCAAGTGCCTTCAGAAGTCACCTAATTAGTAAATAGAGTCCACCTGTGTGTAATTTATTCTCAGTATAACAAGAGCTGTTCTGTGAAGGCCTCAGAGGTTTGTTAGAGAACATTAGTGATCAAACAGCTTCATGAAGACCAAGAAACACACCGGACAGGTCAGGGATTTAGTTTTGGAAAAGTGTAAAGCAGGGTTACATTATAAAATAATATCCCAAGCTATGAACATTTCACAGAGTACTGTTCAATCCATCATCCGAAAATGGAGGAGTATGGCACAACTGCAAACCTACCAAGACATGGCTGTCCACCTAAACTGACAGCCCAGGCAAGGAGAGCACTAATTAGAGAAGCAGCCAAGAGGCCCATGGAAGAGCTGCAGAGATCCACAGCTCAGGTGGGAGAATCTGTCCACAGGACAACTATTAGTCATGTACTCCACAAATCTGGCCTTTATGGAAGAGCGGCAAGAAGAAAGCCGTTTTCAAAAGCAAGCCGTAAGAAGTCCCGTTTGCAGTTTGCCACAAGCCATGTAGGGGACACAGCAAACATGTGGAAGAAGGTGCTCTGGTCTGTGTGGCGGAAAACTAACCCCGCACATCCCCACCGTGAAACATGGTGGTGACAGCATCATGCTGTGGGGATGCTTCTCTTCAGCAGGGACAGGGAAGCTGGTCAGAGTTGATGGGAATATGAATGGAGCTAAATACAGGGCAATCCTGGAGGAGAACCTGTTAGAGGCTGCAAAAGACTTGAGACTGGGACGGAGGTTCACCTTCCAGCAGGACAACAACCCTAAACATACAGCCAGAGCTACAATGGAATGGTTTAGATCAAAGCATATTCATGTGTTAGAATGGCCCAGTCAAAGTTCAGACCTAAATCCCATTGAGAATCTGTGGCAAGACTTGAAAATTGCTGTTCACAGATGCTCTCCATCCAATGTGACTGAGCTTGAGTTATTTTGCAGAGAAGAATGGGCAAAAATTTCAGCCTCTAGATGTACAAAGCTGGTAGAGACATACCCCAAAATTGTAATTGCAGCGAAAGGTTGTCCTACAAAGTATTGACTCAGAGGGGCTGAATACAAATGCATGGCACACTTTCTAGATTTTTATTTGTAAAAAAAAAATGTGGTTTGTGGGTGTAACATGAAAAAATGTAGAAAAGTTCAAGGGGTATGACTACTATTTCAAGGCACTGTATGTACAAAATAATGTAACCATGATTCACTACATGTTTTCTAATGTTTTGCTTTTGCTTTTTTCACTTCTCTTTTCCTCCTACAAGTATTTCAGTCTCACTCTTCATATTTCACCTTCCTTTTTTAGCCATCTTTTCTTTTCTGTCGCTCACTTCTTATAGTTTCCTCTGTGATCCTGTTTCCTTCTTTTTCTTCTGGGTTGATCCCTTCATATTCTAAGAAGTTGTATGACTCACACAAAAACAGACATCAGTAAGTATATCCTTCTTCATAAATTCATGAAGATAAGGGGTTGGTTCTCTAGAATTCTGCACTGATTTTCCCTCTAGATCTCAGCTGGTGATAAGTACAATGATGAACAATGTGCTGCTCCAGTGTTCCCCTAAATCCTCTCTACGATGTTCTTCTCTTCTACTTGCAAAAGGCATGAGGATCAGTACATTCTGACACAAAGTTTTAACTGAGTCATATGATGCTGCACTGTGTAAACGACAACTATACTCCCGTACATTATGGATTCTCCCAAAATATATTGTGTAGGATCTGAATCTGGATGGAATCTGTTTATAATCAGTGGTAGTGGTTGAAGCGGTGCCACATCACCATGCATCAGCTCCAAAAGTCTATGCTTTAATTTTTCAAATTTGACCTAGTATTACCAGAATTTATGCATGATTTGCAATATTGCCTTTTTGCATACAGTGTCAGAATTACAACACGTTATGTGCCATATTATCTGTGTTTAATACTTCCCTCAAAAAGTTTTACAAAATAAAAGACTTACATGGCAGATTTAAATATAAAATTGACACACTGACAAAACATCATAAAAGCAACATTCATATGGTCTTTCTGTTCACAAAGAGTTTGTGATGCGAGTTTGTTGGAAAGATTTGTCCAAATCTGCTGCTGGAGATCAGCAGGTTCCTTTCCCACCAGAGCAGTTCCCCAGCATAGGAAGCACTAAGCCAACACAAACTTTCCCTTCACACTCACTGATTTACCTGCAGTACCGTAGAATTTTTTATTCTTGTTGAGGAAGATCCCTGTTTTACATTTGCTTGTTGTGGTTTGTAGTTTTGGCCTAAACTTTGTATTAATATTTGGATAAAATATTATGTTTACGCTTAGACTGAGGGTCTGCTAAAGAAATTGGATGGTGGAGAACCTGAATGAGCACCAGTTTCTTTAACACAGGGCATCACTTACTGGTTACAGGTCAACCTGTCTGATGTGAGTGATTCAGATGTTTGATGGAAAGAGTGAAAGAGCATAAAAGCAAAGTTCTCCAGTATAGGAGATTTTACATGTATATCAGTTCTGTAATTACATAGGAAATGTATGAAAATCCTCTGAAGCTCCACACTTTTTAAAGAAGCTTCTCTCAGCAGTTCTCCACCTGGAAACGGAACCAGTTCTTCTCCAAAGCTCTCCTCAGTGCACATCACAGCATTCTGTCTATTGAGCTGTGAATCCTCCCAGTTTAATCACCCGTGTGAGCACTCAAGGGTGAGAGAGGAATAATGCTTCTCCCCTGTACTCTCTCTCTCCCTCTCTTCCTCTCTCTCTCTCTCTCTCTCTCTCTCTACCCAGGTCTATGGTTCCTGTTGGATTCTTCTCTGCTTTGAACTTCATCACTGTCAGCTTCACCTTCACATCCAAACACAGACTGTTAGTAAATCTACATAAAACACAATGAACAATGTATTAATATTGTGGAAATCAGGAGAATAAACAAAAACTTTATTATTTCACTGAGGTCTATGTTTATGATACCTATGTGAGGATATATGACTCATGTAACTTTTGCTCTCATTTTTGTTTTTGCATTTCTGTTGGTCCTGTATTTCCTTCATAATCAAGCATTTGCTGAAAAACTTTATTCAACTAAATATCTACTAAATTGGCCATAATTTTCTTTCACTCTAAACCTGCTTTAATCCTAACCCTATCCTTAACCTCAGCCCAAATCCTAACCCTCACCCTGGTCTTAGCCCTAACCCTGGTCCAAATCCTAATCCTAACCCCACCACTATTTAGAATTAACTGAATTTCAACAGAGTTAACTTTGTTAACAATTTGAACATCTGTAGATAATCTATAGGGGACTGTAATGGACTATCTAAATAAGGTGAGACTGAAAAATGTATTTCAGGAATTAGTTGGAGTGATCTAATGTTGGACCTTGAATACATAACAGGTGTGCTCTGCTACTTTATGGACTGTACTAAATTGAAGTGTCTAGGGGAAGTGAGTATGTAGAGAATTGAGACAGCTTTAAAGCAGGAGGGCTGTAAGGCAGGTTGAAGCAGTGCCGCACCTACAGAGCACACACCAACAATACATTCTTGGCTTTGAGACAGATCGATTATTTTTTGCAAAATAAGGGTGAAATACTGCTTATATGCAACTAGATGGACTTTTTGCTTTTTGTTATTTGCTTTCAGTCCCTCCAGAGCAAAATTGTTATCATCTGGCTCTTATCGTTACATTCAGTTCCTCACAGCATGTGTACAAATGCAGAACCAAATACCAGAAAAACAAATGATAAATGCTAAACTTGTGTTAAAACTGTGACATTTTTGTCTCCAGTCCTGGATCAGACAGAAACGCAGAACTCAGAGGAGCCGCTGTTTGTATGAATTGTTCCGCGTTATAACTCGAGATTCCTCTGAAAGGAGATCAAAGACCAGAGGACCATCATAGATACTCATCACACAGTCAGCTGTATTAGATGATGGGTGTGAGAGGCTCAGGGTGGAATCCTGAAACTTTAGCCCCAGTAAAACTACACAAACACAAACTGCATCACTGAATGATTAATCCTCCAATCATTAAAGTGCTGAACTGTGTTGCTCATTCAGATCCTGCATTTCTCAGTTTGCGTGGGTCAGTGTATTTATATATATTATTCACTGCTGAAAATAATAACATTAAAAACATTTACATGGAAAACAGGATAAAATCTGTATTTTAATTACAGCATTTCATGGTTAGAATGTTTCAAAAAACAGAGACTGAACTACTAATCACTGTCAGGTCTTCTAAAGCAGCGTTGGTCTGTGTATAACTGGTCTGATGAGTCTCAGTTAATGAACAGTTTCTCTAATGTACTTACTGGAATATTCCTCTGCTGTGCTGTTTCTCTGATCAGCTCTTGCTCTTCTTGTGTTTGTTCAGTGTGATACAGATTCATTTGAGACCTTTAAGAGCCTGAACACAATTCAACCCCAACTTACTTCTCCTAGTGAACTGGGAGAGGACTGGAAGAGGACCTAATTTGAATTAGGAAGGCTGTAAGGCAGGTTGAAGCAGGTCTGCGCCTACAGAGCTCACGCCAACAAACAGAGTTCCTCACAGCAAGAACAGAATCACAGAAACAAAGACAGAAACTGTAGATGTGAAATGTTAAACATGTTTTAGTTCATTCTCTAGATACATTTCAAAATTCAATAACTCCAATCCTGAATCAAAATAAACACAAGAAAATAGTTGTCCATGACTTTTGTAGAACTTTTATATCTGAATCATTAATCTGCTAAATCATTTCATTTTCTAGTTATTTTAGGATGAGAAAAATGTGGAAGTGCTTTATGTGATTTCTTCTCTCTTGTAGATCATACAATTGTATAACTATATATCCATATAAAGAAAAATAAATGCTTCTAATAAATGTAAAAAAATGAAAATATTTGATGATGGACAGGTTTCCAAACTAAAAGTCCTCTAAGTCTCATTTTATGAGGGTTTACTGTCATGTACTTACCAGAATATTTCACTGGAGCTGTTTCCATGATCAGTTCTTGCTCTTCTTGTTTTTTTGTCTTCAGCTTGATGTATATTTATATGAGATCTTCAGGGGCCTGAACAAAATTCAACCCCAACTGACTTCTGCTAGACACTTCCACTTGGGACAATACAAGTTGCAGGGGTGATCAAACTGCTCACTGTTTCATAATCATGTTATATTTGCTATCTATTGCTATTGGTTTTGTTTTTTAATTGCTTTTTTTAATTTCTTACATCAAAGCAACATGCATTTGCAGAAAATATGTGATTGCATGCATTAATTTATTGATCTAGTGTTGGATCATTTAAAAATAACAACTGTGCTCTCCTGCATTATGGACTCTTCCAAACTGAAGTGTGTAGGGGAAGTGAGTTTGAAGTGAATTTGGGCGACGCCCTCGTTTAAAGCAGGAAGTCTGTGAGAGAGCGTGAAGAAGTACCACACCTACCAAATGCAAACAAGCAACAAGCCAACAATCTCCTTGTAGAGACATGAGGTTTTGTCCAACAGCAACCAAATGTACAGATATGTTTGTCTTCTCATATCAAAAACAGCCTGTAGTTTTACTGTGTGATTGTAATGATGCAGTAACACAATCACAAATTGAATTACAGTATAAGATTTTATTATTTTATCATGCTGCACCTAGACTGCTTATATGCTATTTTTATTTATAATGTGGTTTTAAATACACATTCAATTATTTATATTTTTATGAAATACAAAATGTGGATATTGCTCCAATTTCTTTGGAACATCTGCAATTTTACACTGATAAGGCACCATAAGTGTAAAAATCCTACACTCTTCTGTCTTTCAGTTAAGAAAGAGTTTGTTGGTGAGGGCATATTTGCTCAAACCTGCTGCTGGAGAACAGCCAGGCTTTAGAGTTTCAGCCTGTTGAAGGTTCCTTTTCTACCAGAGCAGATCCCCACCAATCCAGCAGAGGCAGCACTGAGCCAACACAAACATTCCCTTCACACCCACTGTTTATACCTCCAACTGTACTTTACCATTTTTTCTGGTTCTTGTTGAGAAAGATTACTGTTTCACATTTGCTTCTTGTAGTTTGTAGTTGTGGTCTAAACTTTGCATTAATGTTTGGATCTTCCAAATGTTGGATCTTCCGATGTTAGTATTTGATGGAAGGACTCTGTAATCACATAGAAAATGTATGAAAAGCTTCTGAAGCTCCACACTTTTTAAAGAAGCTTCTCTCAGCAGTTCTCCACCTGGAAACAGAACCAGTCCTTCTGCTCTCCTCAATGCACATCACAGCATTCTGTCTATTAAACTGTGAATCCTCTCAGTTTAATCACCAGTGTGAGCACTTAAGGGTGAGGGAGGAATAATGCTTCTCCCCTGTACTTCTTTCTCTCTCTCTCTCTCTCTCTCTCTCCTTCTACCCAGGGTTGTGATTCTTGTTGGATTCTTCTCTGCTCTGAACTTCATCACCATCAGCTTCACCTTCACATCCAAACACAGAATGTTAGTAAATCTCCATAAAACACAACACTGAACAACGTATTAGCTTTGAGGAAATCAGGAGAATAAAGAAAGACCTCAGTGAAATAATAAAGTTTATGTTTATCATACCTGTGTGAGGATGTGAGGAGCTGTAGCTCAGAGTGAAGATCAGCAGGAGAGCTCGCAGTGCCGACTGAAAGATCCACTGAAAGAAAGAGTTCCTGCTTTTCTCTTTTACCTGCAGAACATCATCAGTCAGTTTTAATTCACATTAATATTCTTTAACATTCACTCAGCTTTAATTCTCATTAATATTCTTTTACTTTCACTTTCATTTTCTCTCACATTGCTTTGCTGGGTCTTCACCCTGGGTTGGTGGTCAGTTTCAGAGGCCCTGGACATTCCTCCAACATTCTCAGACCTTTCAATGAAACATGTCTTTTAAAATGAATATTAGCTTTTAATGTATATTATTTATATGATTTAATTCATTTATATCAGTAGCATGTATGATTTCAGAATATATTTCTGACAATAAATATATTTCACCCAGTCTCGCACTGAATTTTAGGTGTTAAGTCATATTAATGTGTGTAATCACTACAGTTATTACTAAACAACTTTCTGTTTGTTATTTAACAGTAAACAACAGCCTGTTTCACCTGTGCGGAGGAAAGAAGGGATTCTCCTCAAAAGTGTTTGGTGTGTCCATGGAGTGATGGTCAGATGAGGGCAGGGAATCTTCCTCACTGTCACTAAACAGAGCCACAAAACCTGGACAGTTTTTACTCCATCCAGAACTCTGAAAATGTTCTTTAAGAATTCTGGATTCGTAAACTGCATGAAGTGCAGTGAAATGTAGCTGCTCAACAATAAACATTTCAGAAATAATAAACACTGATATAAAACAGGTTTTGACCTTTCAGTAAGGTAGAGGTCACTGCAAGAACTCCATTCATGGTCTTGATGGCCTTCTCTTTGCTCTGACGTACAGATCAATTCTGGCATATGGTTTTCCTCTTCAGCTTAGAACCAGTATAGAGAACAGGAGGAGAAACAGAGTAGAACAAGATGAGAACAGGAGGAGAACCAGAGGAGGACATGAAGAGAATGTGAGGAGAGGAGAGAGTCCTGTAAACACCACATATACTTACTTACACTATTATATCAGACACGTCTTCCTTCGCTCTACTTTCGTTTGCTCTGATTTTTGTTTTTGCATTTCTGTTCGTCCCGTATTTCCTTCCTCATCAAGTATTTGCTGAAAAGTGTATTTCAGGCATTAGTTTAGTGATCTACTGTTGGATCATGAGTAAATAACAGCTGTGCTCTTCTAGATTATGGACTGTACTAAGCTGAAGTGTCTAGGGGAAGTGAGTATGTAGTGAATTGAGACAGGGTCACTGATGTGAACACCACTCAATCATGTCCCAGGGGGATCTGATGCGGCCGGCGCCCAGTAAAGAAGGGTAAAACTGTATCCACTTATACTGTTTT